GAAAGTTAATAGAATTGTGTAGATAAAAGTTTACTTGATTATAACTAAAACAATATTTTTGAAGGCTTTTGGAGAGTGGCCTTCAAACGATTTTAGCTTGCTATGGTTTTCAATTTATAATATAAATTAGGGAGACTTTTATAATTAATTAAGAGTAAATTATGCAAAGCAATTACAATGAATTATTAATTATTTATGTAACATATGTTTTGATTTGAAAACTCTAAGTTTCACATTTTGAAAAGTTTAAATAAAGATTACATATAAATTTTAAAAAAATTGCATGAAAAAATGTTAAAAGTGAATATTGGCCTAATAAAATGTGAATGGTGATCGAAATATTAACCATATATAATATATTTCCTATGCTTTGATCATGGAAAAAATCAAGCAGATATTTTGGCTCTCTATAGTTACACATGGGTGGCATGATAGCCAATTGGAAAATGCATTTACTTTATTTGATGCAAATATGGTTGTATTAATTAATTAAATGACAAATCAATTCTTACACTAAAATTTAGAAATATAGTACCGTTAATTACATTTTCATTATATTTTCTTCCCTTGTTAATTTAATTATATTTTCTTAAAAAAATAAATGTAATTAATTTAATCATAAACAAATCAATAAGAATTAAAATTAATTGAGAAAAAAGATTTAAATTATCTTATATCAATATAATTAAACACAAAATATGGAGTTACCACCATTTTTTTTTATTTAAATGTGATTAATCACTTAAGTGAATCTATTCCTTCTATGATTTTTCTAAGCTTAAGGATCCTTAGGTTTTGATCTTTTTAATAGAACTGGATTCAAGAGTTCAGTTACATATAAGGAACAATACCTACAAATTGGTACCTTTTAATCTTAAATTATCTTTAGCCTTAATTAACATAGTCCTAACTTATTTGTTTTTGTTAATTTAAATATTTTAATATTAGATATATTTTTAGGTTTTCTCCAACACATTAGTCGATTTTAAAAATATTTCTCATATCAAGAATATTCAAGTAATACGCTCATTTCATTTAAGAGGCTTTTATCTCTAGATTTATTAAATATTTTATGAAAAAAAAATATATATGGAGTAAAATACACAATTCAATACATAATAATAAAATATAATAATCAAGTACAAAATTTAATACATGTGATCACTATTTAATCAATCATAAAATCGTCACAATTTATTGTCAATTTTAATTTTTCAAATTAAAAATAAATAAAATTTTTATATTAAGATTAATTTCTAAATCCTTCAACACTTTGATCAAATTTAGAAAATGATCTCCCATTTAAAAATTTTCAAAAAAATTACACGTTTTTAATTTTTTTAAAATTTTATCATTGGATAAATTTTTATTTATTTCTAAATTATTAATTATACAAAGCAAATGTACTCGGCAAACTTATTTTATTAAATTTTGTTCTAAAAATTTTCATATGTCATTGTGTCAAACAATTACAAACACTCCATAAATAGTGTAAGAGAATAAAAAGATGAAAGAAGAACTAAGTGAAAAGTAAATAAAAAAGGAAAGAAAAATACGAACATGTGGGCCAACCAAGCTGAATCCAATTAGGCATGCACTGAAGTTGATTAATTCAAAAGCCTGGGCCTACGCAAATCGTGGGATGGACCACCTTTGGGTTGGAGCAATGGGTAAGTCGTATGGGTCTTCAATTCCAAATCAAATCTTTTAGTTCTTTACTTTCTTATTATACAGTACCGTTGGTACTTTGTCACATATCAAATTCCCTTAATCCTTTTTTTTTTTTTTTTTTCTACAGAGCAACCTTCTTTTTCTTACCAGTAACGCCATCGCAGTCTATCCCCGTGTTTTTTTCAACTTTTTTTTCCAAAAAAAAAATTCCTAATCAACTAAACTCGCAGAAAAGATTATCGAAAACTCTTATTATTTAACTTTTTTTATTTGCTTCTGATTTTTTTGGACACTTTCTTGATTTTTTTCTAATCTTTTTTTGCTTATTTCTTAATTATTTTGAATTGATCCTCACAAATTACAATAAAGTCTTTTTATGAGTATTTAATCCAAATCATAATAGAAAAAGGTTTTTTGATTTTGATCTCTTAATCAAATTTACTTTTGAATTTTAAATCTAAATTCATCTCTCAATTCAATACATTCTCTTTTCTGAATCAAACTCGTATTTTTTATTTTTAATTTAACAAAAATCAAGCCAATAAATAAATAAATTATCTTACAAAATATACTCCAACAAAGGGGAGTGTTTATAATGCTTTTATATCATATTTTTATATCATATCCCACATAATGATATTTAAACAAAATCAAATAATGTTTGATTTCAAAAAATAAAAATTTACTCCACTTAAAATCAGCATTTCATACAAACTTTTTTCGTACGGCCAATATTTCAATATGTTTTATTTTTTAATATATTATTGTTGATTTTGTTAATGCATATACATATTTTTTTCAAAACTTAAAAATTCAAAAAACTAACTATGAAATTATGGAAACCACAAAATTATTGCTATAGATTAGTTAAAAATAATTAAAAATCTCGTGTATGCTATAAGATAAATGATCTTTCAAAATTATATAAGTAGTGAAAAGTTTGAGACTTGAGTATTAACCCCAATCATCATAATCACAAGAAAACATTCATGTAAATAAATTTAATTAAAAAGATCTCATCTTATAATCATACTCTATTAGTTATGAAAAAAAATTAACGAAACCTGTAAAGAGAGGAATGAATGAAAAAATAAATAGATAAATGAAGTATGAATACGTGAAAACAAAGTGAATAAAAGAAAAATAATATCAATTGTCAAGCATGATAAAGAAAAAAACATCTTTGAACATAAGAAAAGCATCTTAGCGATCAATATTTCGAATTGTTAGTAGTGAATAGTGATTAAAAACTAAATTGAATAATGAAAATTTTCATTCCTATAAGAAAGTTAATAGAATTGTGTAGACAAAAGTTTACTTGATTATAACTACAACAATACCTTTGCAGGCTTTTGGAGAGTGGCCTTCAAACGATTTTAGCTTGCTATGGTTTTCAATTTATAATATGAATTAGGGAGACTCTTATAATTAATTAAGAGTAAATTATGCAAAGCAATTACAATGAATTATTAATTATTTATGTAACATATATTTTGTTTTGAAAACTCTAAATTTCACATTTTAAAAAGTTTAAATAAAGATTACGTATAAATTAAAAAAAAATGCATGAAAAAATGTTAGAAGCGAATATTTGCCTAATAAAATGTGAATGGTGATCGAAATATTAACCATTTATAATATATTTCCTATGCTTTAATCATGGAAAAAATTAAGCAAATATTTTGGCTCTCTATATTTACACATGGGTGGCATGATAGCCAATTGGAAAATGCATTTACTTTATTTGTTGCAAATATGGTTGTATTAATTAATTAAATGACAAATCAATTCTTACACTAAAATTTAAAAATATAGTACCGTTAATTACATTTTGATTATATTTTCTTCCCTTGTTAATTTAATTATATTTTCTTAAAAAAATAAATGCAATTAATTTAATCATAAACAAATCAATAAGAATTAAAATTAATTGAGAAAAAGATTTAAGTTATCTTACATTAATATAATTAACTATGGAAATCAAATCAAATTAAATAAAAAAATTTAATAATGAACACGTGGCAATTATTTAAAATTGTCCATATGTAAAAAAATTTAGACCATCCATATAGGGCAATTTTCTTTTTTTTTTTTTACCAAAAGTTTTGACTTTTGTATATTTATATAAAATATATATAAATAAATTATATTTATTTTCATATATTGTATAAATATATGATATCGATCTCAACTTAAAATTTTAAATATGAAATAAAAATAATATTATTTGAAAAAACTTTTAATATACTAAACATTAAATAAAAATAAAAATATGAGAATAATTTATTAATTTAATTTTAAATAAATGTCTCTAATGATTATTTGTTTTTTTTTTATTTCATTGTCACAACTGAATTTATCAAATACCATTTTTTATAATAAATAAATTAATAAATAAATAGCTAAAATGATCAATACATAAATAAATAATCAATTTTATAATCAATTAAATTATTAGTGAATAAAAATAGATATCTATATAAATACAAAGTAAATAAATATTTGTTGTTTTATATAAATACAAAGCACATAAATATTTGTTGTTTTATTTTAAGATGTATAGATATATTAATATTTTAAAAAATTATTATTATTTTGAAAAAAAAATCATATTAAGGAAAATAAAATAATAATAAAATATATAATCGATTTATTTATAAAATAAAAATTACATAAATAGAAAATAGATACATAATTAAATATATATAAAATAAAAAGTGAGAGCTAAATAATTAAAAGAAAAAATATTATTTTGTTAAATTTAATATGTACAAATGTGTTATTAATAATTTTTAAAAAAATTATTATTCGATATAAAAATAATTTTATTAATTTCTAGTTATTTGTTAAATTATAAATACCAAATGTATTATAAAAATTTTATATATAATTTTAATATAATATTTTTAATGGTTATTTTCTCTTCTTACTCAAATTAACTTCATTGTTATTTTTGTTTTTGCATTCAAATATATATCCAATCACTTATTTTAATTTTACTGCTGCAATAACCATTCTCACTGATATGTTAACAAATTTCACTTCCACTATTATTTTCTATCTTATCGGGATCAATTTTATCATCCATTCAAATGGACCTTTTATGTCTTGACCAACCATATACTTATTAGGAAATAGTTTGCACATTGCTTTTAGAGTCTAGCCATTGTATAAAACCGTTCAAACAGCAAAGCAAACCATAATCTATGCAGTTCAACGCAAAGTGATGGGGATAGTAACAAAAATATACGATAAAACAAAGGAAGTGCCTTTCATTATTGAGGAGTTGCAGACTGTAAGTTGAAACAACATTTGGAGCAAAGTACGGATCAAAACTTGTCAAAAAGACATTCAATCCATCCATCTATTGTGGCAAAGTATTTTCTTCGCCAGTTTGCACTGATGTAAAGTGGTGCAATGACACTCCAAAATCCGATAGCATAGGATATAAGCACAAATGAATAGAAAGACAAGGGTTTATCAAGGAGGCTTTCCTCTGCCTTTTTTTTGGGATTTTCTTTTCTTCCATCATCTCTGTTGTCATTTCTTGAGCATGTTCTTTGTAATGGTTCTCCGCAAAGTTTTTGGTTACCCTCGAAGCTACGTTCAGAGAATGTTGAAAAGTGTTCATTAAGTGGGATCCTCCCTGAGAGGTTGTTGAAGGCAACAGAAAAGGTTGTGAGAGTATCGATCTGGACAATTTCAGGAGGAATGTGTCCTGTTAGGTTGTTGTGGGAGAGATCCAGGCTCTCCAAATTTTTGAGATTTTTGAAAGATGTTGGAATATGACCTGTTAAAAGGTTTCGTGACAAGTTCAAACAATGCAGTTCTGCCAATTCACCAATCTCATCTGGAATGGAGCCAACCAATTTATTAACTGAAAAATCAATCCCTGTCATGAGAGTAAGGGGGATACCCTGGTACAAATATGAATTCCCCTTGGTGGTGAAATCAACCGGAACACATGAGTTTGCTTGGAACTTCTTTCTCCAGACTAAATTGTTTTTGAGGCAAGAAGGAATTTTCCCAGCGAACTTATTTTTTGAGAGATCCAACAACTGTAACTTTATCATTTGGCATAATTGCTCGCTAAGATTTCCTGTAAATTGATTTTCTCCGAGAAGAAGTGCTCCTAATTTCATGAAAACTGGTAGATTTGAGATGGTTCCCGACAGGAGGTTATGTCGTACATCTATCAGCTCCAAAGACAAACTTTTTGACAAGCAAGCTGGCATATTCCCTACAAAGAAATTATGGTGAAGCAGCAACCATGTCAATTTAGGCATACTGCAATTTTCTGGAAGCAGCTCACCGTCCAAGCTATTGTTTGACAGATTCAAGTACCATAATGGTGAATTTTGGGTTAAACCAACTGGGACTACTCCAGAGAGGAGATTGTTTGACAAGTCCAAGCTTTGTAGATGTATCAGTTCACCCAAAGAAAGGGGAATGCTACCAGAAAATTGGTTGGAGGATGCATTGAACCCAAACAGCTCAGGGAGAACTAGATTAATATTTGCGGGCAGGTGACCATCAAAATGATTGTCAGAGATATCTAGCTTAGCAAGTCTAGATTTCTTTTCGTGGCCTTGAGGAAATTGACCAACAAAGGAATTGCTTCTCAGGCTTAAAAAAGAAGAAACATTATGAAGCATCCAAGTGGGGAAGTTTCCAACCAGTAAGTTACTGGATAAATCCAGGGTTTCCAAGTTATATTGGTTAGAAAGGAACCTAGGAATTATGTGACCACTCTGACGATTGAGGTTGCATCCAGCCAAAAGCAAATTTTGTACTTGGAAAGAAGGATGCCAAATTGCAGTTTCAGTTTCAACTTCTAATTGGTAGTTGTAGGAAAGATCTAGATCGATAAGCTTCGAATGATTTGTGAAGATGGAAAATGACAGCAGGCCTTCAAAAAAGTTATAAGAAACGTCGATGGACTCAATTTTTGATAGATTAGCAAGGAAGGAGAGGTTTCCCCGAAATCGGTTCTTTGACAAGTTCAGAGTTCTGAGCGATGGCATATTGCTCCAACAGGGTGGCACAACATCTTCAATGGAGTTAACTGAAAGATCCAGCCAGTGTAACTGAACGAGTTCACAAATTGCTGCATGACATGCCAACATAGTTTTAAAAAGTTATCATGAATAACCCTTAATTCAACGGCAACAAAACTTTGAATGAAAGCAGGACTGAAAACCTCACCTTCGGCATTAGTCAGTCCACCAATATGATTCCCTTGCAGATGCAATTTTTGCAATTCCTTGAATTGTGAAAACAAACTCATATCAGGAAACCATTGATCTGCATCTTTCTTGATATGGTAAAACAAAATTCCGATCACATGAGAGCTTGTAGGGCTACAGTGAACCCCTTCCCAGCTGCAACAGTTACTAGAGAATGTGCTTTGATAATAAGATTCATAGCCCATAGATTCTCTTATTTCCTTAAGAGCCGTCATCTCCTCATCAAGACAACCATGGCTGCATCCAAAGTTGCAACAGATTATCATTGTTGCAAACAAAAGCAGGATCCCACCATCAACAGAGAAATTGTGCATATTGATGTGCACAATTATTCAGGCAACAAAGATCTGTAACTTGTTTTCTCTTCTATGAAGTTCCAACTTTGTATTATCTGGAATATGAAACCTTATTTGTGAATAATGAAAATTTGAAAGCAGCCTAATTGTTCAAACAACAGTCCAGGAATTAAATAGAAAAAAAAAAAAAACAACAGGCAGACACAGAATTTAATTATAAATAAGCTCTCAAAGTATAGAAAATGTTTCATTTAATCTCCTACTATTTTATTTTCTACAATTAAACCCTACTAGCTAAGGCTAAGTTTGGATTGAGGGGAGGTAAAGGAAAAAAAGGGAAAAAAAAGGAAAGCAAGAGAAATAAGAAAACTTTCCCTTTGTTTGACTTATCATTTATATTTTAATTAAAAAAAAATGGAAATTGAATATCTTTCCCTTTCCTTCAAAAGCTCAAATATTTAATTACCCCAAATTGGAGTAGACAGGAAGGAAGGAAAGGAAAAAATTAAAGGAAAAGATTAAAAATTTTAAAATATAAAATTACTTTTATTTTCTTATTATATTTTATAAATTTCAAAGAATACTATTATAATATTCAAGTTTATTCATTGATGTTAATCATTGATTCTGGATTTAAATTTTTAGTAACTCATTTCTAAACTTTTTTTTTTTGTCAGTAACTTCAAATTCTATATATTTTTAATTTATGCTTAGATCTTAATTTTTTTTAAATTTTGTTATCACTTCACAAATTCTAAATAATGAAAATAAAAGAATATGACAAAACATGCATAACTATTGAAAAATATTAATACTTAAACAAAATTAGGGTTAGTTTTATCTTAATAATAGATATTTAATTAAGTTTTTAATTTTCTCATTCATGGATTAATTTTAAAAAAATTATTGTAATGTAAAAATAATTAAAAAAATATATTTTTATGAATAAATTATTAATAATATTCTCTTTAATTAAAAATATTTTTATTGACTTTCAAAATTATTTAAAATAGTTAATATCAAAATTATTCACATTATAGAAAAATATTTTATTTTAAAAGAGTATAATTAAAATAATATAATATAATATAATATAACATAATATAATTTTTTTCTTTCTTTCTCACAGTTTAACCAAAAAAAATTTGTGATTAATCATTTTTTTTACATATTTTAATTATCCAAACAAAAAAAAATTATCATTTTTTTTCTTTAAAAACCTTTCTTTTTCTTTTCTTTACTAACTTCGATCCAAATATAGGTTAAAGTGGAGAACCAGAGACTGTCTCAAGGGCTTAGAATTAAATTTTTTAGATTTTTTATTTTATCATAATTAAGTTTTATTGATATTTAATTTTATTTATAAAATGTAATTACCATGTCATCAAATTTGTCCGTATATGTTTGTCACATCATCTAATTTGATCTATGCGGATTACAACATATATGGGTTAACAGAGATGTAACTACTTCAGCATTTTCCATCCAAATTCGATTTCATTAAAACAAAGTAACACTATGAAAGTCTAATTGCACTAAATAAAAAAGTAGGGGCTTAAGTGAAACATTTTCTATAGTTTGAAGGTTTATTTTTTCATTACGCCAATACGTGACCAATTTCTAGTCCTGCTTTCGTTCTCCAAGAACAGCTGTCCTATACCATTTTCCGAGAACTTCCCAATTCAAAGTTAAACTTTTGCCATGGACCCTTCTGCTTATGATACAATACGAGAGAATGCGTTGGAAATTTTTTAATGAAGTAAAGATGTGACGCCTTCACTTTGAAATCAAAATAATATATGGATATGATATGATATATATATAATATATTTAAATTTAAATTTATAATGTGAGAATAAAATTGTAAGACCTTCGAGTCAAAATAAAATTAAGTATTATATTATAAGAGTGATTATTGTTATACAATGAGACCGTACGAATTATTGAGTGCTACACAATAAAGTCATATCTAGAATATCAACATGTGATGTAATATTGGTCTTATGGTTGGACTCAGCTTGACAGGGACATCAAGTTTTAAAGATGAAAATTATGAATGTAAATAATACATTAGTACTCGTAAGTTACTTAGGTTTGATTCGAACACAACTTAAATTCTACTCGGTATTATTGAGTTCAGCTTGAGCTCAAGTCCGAGTTTGAGTATTTTTATATCTAATTTGAGTAATTTACCAGCCTAATCGAATTTTTATATTTTAATATATTTTAATTAATAAAATATCTTGAATTCGAATTTGAGCTCAAGTACAAATAATTAAATTTTTGTCAAATATAAGAATTGAACTTATTTTTACATGTTAATTGAGTTTAACAGAGCGAGTTTGAGAAGCTTGATTTTTATCTCGAGTTGAATCGAGCTAAAAAAATATTCGATTGAGTTCAAATCGAGTTTAGAACTTTAAATTTCGAGTTGAGCTCAAGCTTAATACTATATCAGTTTGAACTCGATTAATTACACTCCTAGTGAGGGATACTATGACGTCCTCAATGTCATATTAAAAGAATATGTAGATATGATATTATATATGTAGAGATTTTAATACAAACTTGTGAGACATTTTTTTAGATAAAATCGTGAAATCTAATGTTAAAATGAATAATATCTCTTAAATTAAATACGGGTCTCCACAAAAAAATTTGCAAAAAGTTTCTCTAATAAAGTGAAATAACGTGTTTCATTGTCAAGATGAGAATGCCCCAAAAAATTTTCTAATCTAAGTGAGGGAATGTAAGGAAAATTTCCCTTATCAAGTGAGAAAATGCGTGGGAAGTATGGGAAATTTTTCTAATCAAGTAAGAAAATACATGGGAAATTTTCTTAGTAAAGTAAAAAAATGCGCGGAAAGTTTCCCTATTCAAGTGAAAGAATGTGTTTCATAGTCAAATAAGAGAATGCCCCCAAAATGTTTCTTGTCAAGTGAGAGAATGCACGGGAAATTTCCCTTGTCAAGTGAGAAAATGCGTGGGAAATTTTCTTAGTGAAGCAGAAAACGCATAAGAAGTTTCCCTAGTCAAGTGAAAGAATGTATTTCGTAATCAAGTGAGAGAATACTCCGAAAAATTTTCTAGTGAAGTGAGAGAATGCATGAAAAATTTTTTTAGTAAAGTAAGAAAATACAAGAAAAATTTTCTTAGTGAAGTAGAGAATGCGCAGAAAGTTTCCCTAGTCAAATGAAAAAATATGTTTCATAGTCAAGTGAGAAAATGTTCTGAGAACTTTTCTAATCAAACAAGAGAATGCATGGGAAATTTCCCCAGTCCAATGAGAAAATGCGTGAGAAATTTTTTTAGTGAAGTAGAGAATATAGGGAAATTTCTCTAGTCAAGTGAAAGAATGTGTTTTATAGTCGTGTGAGAGAATGCCTAGAAAATTATTTTAGTAAAGTGAGAAAATGCTTAGGAAATTTTCCTAGTCAAGTGAGAAAATGCGTGAAATTTTTTTTTTAATGAAATAGAGAATGCTTGGGAAATTTATCTAATCAAGTGAAAGAATGTGTTTCATAGTCAAGTGAGAGAATAACCTAAAACTTTTTCTAGTAAATTGAGAGAATGCACAAGAAATTTCCCAGAAAATGCTTGGAAATTTTCATAATAAAGTGAGAATGCGCGTGAAAATTTTCCATGAACAACAAGTGAAAGAATGCGTGGAAAATTTTCCTAATCAAGTGAAATTCTTTGCTGTTGCCCTTTGGTTGTAATAAAATCTCTGGATTTGGTGGGGAAGCTTCCCAAGCCGAACTTACAGGTTCAGCAATTCCCTCCTATTTTGCATTAGACCTATATTTTCCTTTTTTGATTTCCACTGTAAAAGATGCATCCTTTTCTAACTTCTTTTTTCCACTGTCCAGTTTCCACTCTTGACCATCTCCATCTGACACAGACAACTGAAAGTTCAGAGCAAGTAAAAGTAGACAAACTGTTGACATGGTAAACACGAGGAACTTTGGTTGGCGTGAAGAAAGAGCGACTGTGCTTATTCATATTGATTACAGAGATTAAAAATAATAATAATTATTATAATTATAATTAAAAAAATTTAATAAAAATTTATGTTGATTTAATTTTATTGAAATTAATATTTAAATTTAATTAATGATATAATAAATTTAATCACATCGATGGTGCTGGAAAAATCAAACTAGCACTAAACTTCAAATATGATTGAGTTTACTGGGGATGTTCAACAATTCCATTCTCATCATGGAGATCACTGTTATCTATAGGTGCTCCTTGCTCTTGCTCCTGTGCATATGCTTTAATTGCCAGCGGTGCATGGAAGAAGAAAGGGATGCTCTCCTACAAATTAAAGCTTCAATAAACAGCCTAGGGGGTACTGCTTTCTCAAGCTGGTATGAAGAAGACCGTTGCCAGTGAGAGGGTGTCGAATGCAATGCAACCACGACTCGTGTCCGTAGCATCTTCATTTACTACCAAAGGGATCCGAGCTTGTATGGAAATTGGTAACCAAATGCTACCCTATTTGCTCAGTTTAAGGACTTGAAAGAACTTGAACTTCCAGGGAATCATATTAAGGAATTCACTTCACCTGATGTTAAACACAATTACTTCGCTCTATGAACTATCATTGTAACATTTCTGATGTATACTTATTTTATGCTCTGCAGAGCTTCAAAAACTCAAGCAACTTGGGAAGCTGAATCTGCGGAACAACTTAATAAAGAATCCTTCTCATCTCTGCCGGAGGAAGGGGGCATTACCGTCTCTTTATTCCTTAGATTTGTCTCGTAACAATTTGAAAGGTTTAATTCCAAAATGCCTCCGTGATAGCCTGTTCTAACTGAACTATTCCTGTCTGATAACAATCTCCAAGGAAATATATCTTCACGCTTGAGTAATATGACTTCACTTGAACTTCTAGATCTGTCTAACAATCAATTCAGTGATTCCTTTCCTTCCTTTCTAGTGCATAACCTAACAAGTCTTGGGTCACTCGTATTGTCAAGAAATCAATTCAAAGGCAAGGTTTCATTTGCCATTTTACCAATTTATCAAGGATCAGTCACCTTGAGATTTCATACAATGCCCAGTTAGAACTAGAAACAGAGTCCCAGACTTGGTTCCCATCTTTCAACCTAAATGAGCTGAATTTAGCTGGTTGTAACCTACGAAAAATTCCCAGCTTCCTTTCCACACAGATCAACCTGAAGACCCTAGATCTATCGGACAATCTTCCAGTAGGAAAAATTCCTTCTTGGCTAATGCATAGTACCACTTCAAAATTAAGGGTTGGAGGCAACAAATTGAGTGGTCCGTTCCCTAGGATATTTCGGAACATAAGCTCGAAACTTACTTCACTAAACGTCTCCGACGATAGCTTCGATGGGCCATTACCTGAAGATATCAACTTGATTTTTCCAGAGTTGTTTTACATAGATGCTTCCTTTAATGATGGCATACCCCCATCATTCGGTAGACTAAAACGACTTCGTTTTTTGGACTTATCATACAACAAATTTCATGGGGGAAGTTCCCTACTTATGACGAGTAATATGAGTTCTCTTGAACATTTGAATTTGGAAGACAACAACTTGAGAGGATACGCAATTCCCAGAAATTCAAGTTTACCCAATCTTAAGATTCTCGTTCTTGGCAAGAATGATTTCACCGGAACCTTTCAAGATAGCCTGTCTTGGAGTTTGTCACAATCTTCCGCCCTCAATTAGCATTACTGAGTCTTGGAAAGAACCGTTTGGAAGGGCAAATACCGCAGCAACCGTGCCGGATGAGACGTTTATCTATATTAGATCTTTCGGGAAACAATCTATCTGGTTACATTCCTGATTGCATTGACAGCATTACTTCTTGGACAGCGATGGATAGTGATGCCAAAATGATAAGTTATGCTGCTGGCAATTTTCCCTATTTATTTAACATCTTAGATCTGTCCTCCAATAGATTGACTGGTTCAATTCCCGTTCAAATTACACGACTGAAAGCAATCATTTGATGCTGCTCAATTGAACCACTGTCAGCTCAAGCTTCCCTGTGAAAACTCATGATTCCAGTAGCTAAAATGTCAGAAAAAGAGATAAGGAGAGAAGAAAGATGAAAGAAGAGAGATAGAAAGAAATTCTAGAAAGTAGAAAATGGGTGTAATTTTATTTCTTCCTATAACCACCTCCTTTTGTAATAGTTCTGTAATCATTGTTACATTAGCTGTCAAAATTTTCAACAAAATAACTAACATGCTGACTCATATACTGACTGTAAAAAAAATATAAACGATTATTAAATTACTTGGATAACTAACATGGCCTTCTTCAATTCAACTTATAACAATTACCTCCCTCTTGAGATAATCCTTGTCCTCAGGGATTGAAGCGAGGAAACTTTTTCTGCAGCTCATATAATCCTTCCCAAGTTGCATCTTCTGGATAACTGTTACTCCACAGTACTAGAACCTTTGTGATTGCTTTACCTCTTTTCTTACTCAATCTTTTATCTAGAACTGCCATTGGTTCCTTGGCCACCATTCAATCTGCATCAATCATAGAAAGATTAGATTGTGTTGGAACTTTCCTAATTGTGCTTCTTCAACTATGAAACATGGAAGATAGCATGAATTTTGGCTTTAGTAGGCAATTCTAGTTTGTAGGCGATAGTCCTATCTTCTCCAACACCTTATAAGGGCTAAAGTACCTAGAGCTAGCTTAAAACAAGACCTATTAATGATAGATTATTGTCTATATGTTTGGAGCTTACCATAAAACTAAATTAGCAATCTCAAATTACCTACAATCCTGTGTCTGTCAGCTTGCTGCTTCATTATATTTCAAGCCCTATCCAAATGAAATTTCAAAATTTTGATTGTGGCCTCATTTGTTTGCAAACTTCTATCCACTTCATCCATTTTAGAATCCCCAGTAGATATGATCGATGAATGGGAACATGTTGACCATAGACTATCTCATATGGTGTAGTCTAAAAACTAGTGTTATACCACCATTCTGCTAAAGAGATCCATTTTGACTAGTGCTTAGGTTGTTCTCTTATCATGCACATTAGATATGTTTTGAAACATTTATTGAGCACTTTAGATTGTCCATCTGTGTGAGGGTGATAAGTAGTAGACATTTTTAGCTTGGTTCCCAATAATTTGAACAATTTTTTCCAAAATAAACTAGTGAAAATCCTATCTCTATAAAAAATAATGGTATTAGGTACTCCATACAACTTGTACACATTGTCTAGATAGGCTTGAGCAACTGGAGAGATAGTTTCATATTTGCATTTCTAACAAATTGTGCATTTACTAACATACTGTCAAACTGCCTTTTTCATTCCTCTCCAATATACCACATTAGCTATTCTCTTCATAGTTGCCTCTACTCTAAAATGCCTCCATCCACTGAATGATAAAAATGTCAATAAGTTCTTATTTAACTCTGAATCAGCTTCCATTATAAGCTTTCCCTTCCTTCTCAACTGACCTGTTTGCCAAGTGTACTTGGGAGACTGTTCTAGGTTGTTCTTGAGCTTATGCAACAAATGTATCAACACTAGATCTTTTAACCAAGACTGTTTAATCTTGGCCATTAGTTACAAAAGATAAAGCATATAACAAGGCTGTAGGATTTTGAGAAAGAGTATCGGTTGCCATGTTGGTAGAGCCCTTTCTGTAGACAAGTTCATAATTAAATCCCATCATCTTGACAACCCAAAGTTGTTAAGTAGGCGTATTTATTTTTTAGTCCAACAAAAATTTAAGACTTTGGTGATATGTTTTTATTTGAAAATGTCTTTCAGTTAAATAAGTACTCCATTTCTTTACTATAGCTAATATGGCCAACATCTTCTTTTCATAAACAGACAGTGCTTGATTTTTAAGAGATAAAGTTTTGCTAAATTAAGCAACTAGCTTATCGTTCTGACTCAACACAGCACCAATTCCACAACTTGAAGCATTTGACTTAATTACAAAAATTGAGTTAAAATTTGGTAGTGCTAGAACAAAAGCTGATATTATAGCTTGCTTGAGTTTTTCAAAAGCTATCGTTCCTGTTTCTTGCCAATTAAAGGGATTTTTCTTTAATGTATCAGTCAATGGTTTTGCAGTAGTCTCATATCCCTTAATGAACCTGTGATAATACCTAGTGAGGTCCAAAAATCTTTTTAATTCTTTAACAGACCCAGGAATTGGCCACTGTTTAACACATTCAACCTTGGTACTATCCATAGCAATTATCCCCTTACTGATCACATGCCTCAAATACTTGATTGGAGTAACACCAAAGTCACACTTTGAAAGCTTAACAAATAAATGATTGCTGGCTAAGACATCAAACACCTATTGCAAATATGCTAAATGATCATTTCAGTTTGATGAATAAACCATGATATCATTAAAGAACACCAATATAATTTTTTTTAAAAAGGTTAAAATACACTATTCATCAAACTTTGAAATGTAGAAAGTGCATTCGTCAATCCAAAAGGACATGACCAAAAACTCATAATGCCCTTGATGAGTCTTGAAAGCTATTTTATGAACATTTACATGATCCATTCAAATTCAGTGATAACTAATTCTGAGATCCAGCTTAGAGAACCAGTAAGTAACAGATAATTCATTTAACAACTCTTCTACTAAAAGAATAGGAAACTTATCTTTAAGTGTGATTTTGTTCAACTGTTTGTAATCCACACAAAGTCTCTATGAGCCATCTTTCTTTTTCACTAGAATCACTAGAAATGCAAATGAACTGTTGCTGTCTTTTATAATTCCAGCCTCTTTCATTTTTGCCACTATCTTTTTAATCTTATTTTTTTGTACAAGTGGGTATCTGTAAGGCTTAATCTTGACAGGTTGAGATTCATTTATCAAAGGTATCTTATGATCATGAGGCCTCAATGAAGGTAAATTTGTAGGTGTCTCAAATACTAGAGAATATCATAGTAACAATTCCTACAAATCATGTGGTAAATCAATTTATTGACTAAACTGGTATAACTCATTTTGAGACTGAGAAGTTCCAATACCATATATCATCATTAGTTCACTTGTCTTACTAACCACCTTCAATTTAGCAAACTACTTACTTACAACCATATGTACCTGAGCATCTTCTATTCCTTGCAGTTTATACTAGTTGTTTGCTACAGCAAATTGCATGGTTAGTAAGGAAAAATCCCATAGAATAGGCCTTAGTGTTTGGAGCCATTGCACCCAAAGTACTGTTTCACAGCCCATTAGAGGTAGCATAAAGAAATCAGTATGTTGGACTAGGCCTTAAACTTTTAAAGTCAATGCTTTACATATATCTTGAGTTAATAATTTGTTACCATTAGTTATAGTGACACTAATTCTAGCAATCTTCTGAGTATTACATCCAATTTCTTAATCAAGGATTAATAAATGAAATTATAGGTAGGATTAATAAATGAAATTATAGGTACTTTCAGAATCAACCAAGAACATTTTACTAATTGGTTCTTGATTCGACCATATAATCTAATGGTCATATAACCTTTAACTCCAATTAAAGCATGTGGGGAGATGGCATGCCTATTCTGTAATTCATGGTCTTCCTCTTCAATCTCCTCTAGATTGTTTACATAGTCATATAATTTCTTAGTATCATTATTATTGTCTTCCCTTTCCTCAGTAAATATCTAGTACAATTGAGCCTTGACACACCTGTGGCCTAGTGTAAACTTAATCTCACACCACATACAAAGTTCTTTTTTCTTCCTATCATCTCTTTCCTCACGGGTTGGTTTTTTTTGATAACATTGAATTTTACTAGAGTTAACTCAGTTTTATTGGTTGTGATTTTGTAGGCATTTATGGGGTTGGTTAATTTAATAGGTTGTTGTAATTTAAGAAAAGGTTTTTTAAGGTTGGTAACTGTAGATATCACATTTTGTCCGAGAATATTTTTTTGAAATTATGCTTCAACCATAATTGAGAGATTTTTGGAATTTAATTTCGGAATCAATTAGCATTAAAAATGATGTGGAGAAATTATAGAGATTTAATTTCATAATTAATTCACATTAAAATGATAGGGAGAGATTTTTGGGATTTGATTTCAGAATCAATTATAGATTTAAGGGGAATTAATTGAGCATGAATTCCTATATAAACCTATAATCAAAGCAAAGTGGAGAGATTCAGAAAAAAAGATTATGCAGAAACTCTTGAGAGAAAAGAGAGAAATTTGTTTAATAACCAATAGGTTTTAAGTTCTGGGTTTGGTTTGTTTAGATTTTTTAGAATTAGGATTTGGTGTTTTTGGGTTTGAATTTCTATAGGGTTTTGTATTCTCGGGATTTCTAGGTTTAGTTTTTTAGATAATTTGTTAGGTTTCTAAAAATTCTCTGTCGGCTTTTGAGATTTATTTGTTAATTTTTGGGTACCTATAAATCAATTAGAGAGAAGACAAATAATAACCATTTTAGAAAAGAGACATACTCAAATACTTTTGAAGAAAAGCCTGAAATTTAAGGCATCTAGATTTGTGTTTTACTATGTACAACCCGACCCGATCACAAGTATTGTCTTTCCCTTTTCCACTCCAATTTCTGTTTTGATTCTATTTTTCTTATTTTGTTTATTTTTATTTACTCTTATTATTTTTTATTTTAAATTGAAAAATACATCACTTATTATTATGATTTTTTTTACTTATTTATGAAATAAATAAAAAACCTTTTTCAAATA